ATTTTATTTACCATCTGGTGTTTTCAGCATCATTTAACTAGGATTAAAGATGTTTGGGCCAGGCCTGGTGACTCACGCCTGTAATCCCAGCACTTTGGGAGGCTACGGTGGGTGGATTACCTGAGGTCAGCTGACTAACATGGTGATAACCCGTCTCTACTAAAAATTCAAAAAAATTAGTCAGATGTGGTGGGCACCCGTAATCCCAGCTACTTGGGAGGCTGAGGCAGGAGAACTGCTTGAACCTGGGAGGCAGAGGTTTCAGTGAGCTGAGATTGTGCCACTGCACTCCAGCCTGTGCAACAAAAGCAAAACTCTGCCCCAAAAATCAAAAAAAGATGTTTGAAGCACAGAGTTGTCTGGAAGTAAACATACTAATACTAAAATGAGCATCTGTTATCTCATCATATGAGCTGAGCATTATTTAAGTTTTGACATACTTCTTTAGAATGGACTCATTTTATCTGTTAATTCCAGGGCCAAAGGGCTTAAACCTTTGTATTCTTTCTTCAGAAAGGTGAATGTGGTGACAGTGGAATATTTAAAATGCTAGTTGTCCATGGAATGTCTCTGTTTGATTTTCTTTCAGCCAGCAAATACTGCAAAATGTTAGTTGAAGAAGAAGGATTGCAGCTTTTGTGTGATATCCAGGAGCACAGTGAGGCAACCTCCCAAGCACAGCAGATTGCAGCCTCCATTCTGGATGACTTCAGAATGCATTTCATGAATTACCAGCGGCCCTAACTGTGTTGAATGCCCTTCTGCTCCTCAGGGACTTCAGAGATGTGCTTTCTTTCTCCATGTCAGGTGTTCTGCCCTGGCAGTAGTTGAATATTGAAACCAGTTACTGTTGGAGTTTGTGAGTTGGCTGTCTCATTGGCCTTTCATTGTTGATTGTATTTTATATACATTACAAAAGATTGGATTTGTATGATAGCTGTAATCCAAGTCAAGTTGGACTTATTCTGAGGACGCCCTTTCAGCGGCAATTTTGAAGACTCAAACCGTGGACTCTGGGAAGGCCTGGGAGCTTGTGTTGGAACAGCTATGCCAGTTACTTTTCCCTAGTAAAAGTAACCGGGCATGGTGGCATGTGCCTGTACCAGCTACTCCAAAGGCTGAGGTGGGAGGATTGCTTGAGCCTGAGAAGTGGAAGCTGCAATGAGCTGAGATCGCACCACTGTACTCCAGCCTGGAGCCTGGGCAGCAGAGTCAGACCCTGTCTCAAAAAAAAAAAAAAAAAAAGATTTTTCTACCACCCTATAGTTTACAAAAGGGTTTCACAGTGATGATTTCATTTGATCCTCACGAAAACATTGTATGTTAACAATTACAACATACTTATTGAATGAGATGTTTTTATTTTGCTAAATCTTCACAAGTTTCATTTTGTAGGTGAGAAAGCTGAGGCCCAGAGTGTTGAAACAATTTGTCTAAGGTTATACAGCAAGTGACTAGCTGAGACTGGGATCTGCAGTCTGCATGGTCAACCAGTGTCAGAGTTTGTTTATTACCTCTATGGTCCAAGGGGAGAAACTAGGAGTATCTTAAAATCTCTTGACATCTCTGATGAGTGCCTGATAACTGAGAGGAGAGAGGTCAGGGGCTGAGAGCCAATAATACCAAGACTCAGAGGGATCTATTTTAATTCGTTATCATTCAAGTAGAGAGAGGCATATTCCAAAGCAAATCCAACCCTATTGATTATGTCTAATCAAGCTAAGGAGGGTAGCAGTAGGTGGTAGGGTCAGCACCTTGGTTCTAGGCATCGCGCCAGCCATTTTATCTCCATCATCATCCTTGTGAAGAATTGGAAGCCTGGAGAGGCGAAATGATGAGGGCAGTCCAGCTGCAAATCTTCCTTCTGGATCCTGCTCTTCAGGGCATGCATCTCCCGTGCTGAAGGTTAAATGGGGGTCATTCGCCAACAAATTTCGGGGGCCGCTTCTCCCTGAAGGCTGCCATGCCCTCTAGCCGGTCCCGGGTTGGAATGTTCTGCAACAAGGTACGGAATACTAATTTGGGGGGAGCAGGGTCAGAGGTGCAAAAAGAGTTGCTTAAGCTTGTCCAGCCCATGACAAAGCATGGGTCCAGGTGTTTCCATTGTCTCTGGACTCTGGTCTTGAGCCATGTAAAGATATAAGCCTCTGTGGCTGCTTTGTCTCCTGGGGAAGACAGGCCAGCCTTTGTATTCTTTGCACCCCATCAGCATTAGCCTCTACTTGCACACTGCTCTCATGCCACCAGAGAACTCACTGCCTTCTGCAGTGGTCTGACATGAGGCTGTGCAGTAGAGAAGGGAAATTCTTTGCAGCAAGAAACATGGCTTTGAATCCAGGTTCACAGTAGGTTATCTGAAGTCGCAGGACCCCTTAGCAGTATTTTGGATATCTGTTAACCTGGAGATTAGCATTTTTTACTCACCTGTGAGTAAGAGATTTAATAGGTCAGTCCCAAGTTTACACCCCCGTTCATTGAGCACAGCTTGCAGGCTACAACCAAGCCCTTAACCTCCCAACTCCAGCATGGGCTTTACACTAGAAGCTGGTACAGAGGCAAAAGAAGCGGTTCTTTCAAGTCTGTGTTGTGTGATTCTCAGCATCAAGTGGGCAGGATGTACCTCAGTATATTAGATGGTTGAGGGGAAAGTCCCAGAGAGAAGCACTGTGGCTCTCCTGAAGCCACTCCAGGTGACTTATGAGGGAGGATGGATGCAGTCAGACTGTTTGGGTTGGGAGGAACCTGCTAAATCGGTTACGTACTAGACAAAAGTCCCTGTAGGCTGGCCCAGGCTATGTTAACAACCAGGCATGGGCTGGTAGCTACATACCTGGGCATAGCATATCCCTTCAATGGCCATCCCTGAGGCAATGTCCACCTGCAAGAAAGAAGTGCTCCCTATCAGTCTGACCTTGTCCATCTTCACCTACACTGGAAACCAGCCCACCCTATTGCCTGCAGACTTCTATATGAGCAGATAGCTATGAGAAGGAATCCCCTTCCTGGAGAAGAAACACCATTCACAACTGTGATGAAACAGTGCTGGGATAAACAGGAGACAGACTGAGATATTTCACCAGAGCAGAGTTCAGCGTTCCTTTCCATCTGGCTGCCTCACCATGCCTCCCTTCACCCCTGTTAATTCCTGAGCCTTTATGACCTGGCCCCTGGCAATTGCTCCAGCTTCTAGGGCCCAGGGACTGGCACTTAAAAGCCTCCTTCTAATGTGTGTAAACTTAATTTTCATAGCAAGGGTTATTCCTCCTCTACAGCTGTGAAACCCGAGGCATAGAAAGGTGAAATAATTTGTCAAATTCACAACAGTACGTGGAAGAGCAGTTCTTTGAACCCAGACAGCCCAGCGCCAGTGCCTCTAACTTGCATAGTCTTTCTCTCACTCTCATCCGGACTAGCTGCTTGCTTATCCTCCTCTGCTTTTGCTCATACTTTTCCTCTGGAATTCTTATCCTTCCCACGGTCCAACTGTAGAAAACATTTTTTTTTTTTTTTTTTTTTTTAGAAAGAGATATTTCCAGCCCCATAGAGGCACTTAAGAAATCGCGGTAAGATCGCGTCTAAACCACAGCACAAACCTCTCCAACAGCCTCTATGTTTGCTGAGT